GATCTCTAAACACAATCACCACCACGGGACAAACACGTGCCATGTTCACAGATGTGACCTAGGGGCCCCTCTGTGGAGGGTGACCTGGCTATGCCCGGCACCCACCTTGGCCACAAGGCCCATATTCTCCATGGTGGCCCTCTCATGGGGGAATTGGGCAAACGTCCGCTCGATCTTGGTGATGACAGCATCAATGTTCAACGTGTTCTGTGGGCGTCCTCGGGGGAAGTGGAAGGTCGGAATGCTTTGACTCGAGGCAGGGGGGAGGGGTTCCTCCTTCTTCGTCTGAATCTGAGGGAGGAAACACCAGAACCCATCAGAACCCAAGCCATGAAGCAGATCCCCACACAGACACGCAATGGGCAGGGTGGGGGATATCCAGATCTAGATGTGAGTGCAGAGAGCGCCAAGAAATCTCTGGATGTGACCCAACACGTGGGACTAGAGGGATGTCACCCCCACACAGAGGCCACTCTACCCTGTGAGCAGCTCTTGCACTGGCACTGGATGCTGGTCTGTGCCACACGGCCTCCTCCCCAAGGTGTTTGCTTTGGATGAGGACAGCAGAGCCCCCAAGCACTGAGAGTCCAGTTGGGACCTGCTCAGAGTGCTGTGGACAAGCCACCCTGAGATGCTCATGGGCATAATACAGCACAGGGCTGTGAACAGGGTGGTCACTCAGTACCTCAGTACAGGGTTGTGAACGGGGATTACTCAGCACAGGGCCATGGATAGGGGGGGTTCTTTCAGTGCAGGGCAGTGGACAGGGGGCTCCCTCAGCATAGGGCCATGGATGGGGGGTCACTCAGCGCTGGGCCGTGGACAGGGGTGTCACTCAGCGCTAGGCCATGGATGGGGGGGTGTCACTAAGCATAGGGTCATGGATGGGGGGGGTCACTCAGGATAGGGCCGTGGACAAGGGGGTCACTCAGTGCTGGGCCATGGACAGGGGTGTCATTCAGCGCTGGGCTGTGGATGGGGGGGTCACTCAGCACAGGATCATGGACAAGGGGTCACTCAGCACAGGGCCGTGGACAGGAAGGGCACTCAGCACAGGGTCATGGATAGGGGTCACTCAGCACAGGGCTGTAAATGGAGGGGGGTCACTCAGCACAGGGCTGTAAATGGAGGGGGGTCACTCAGTACAGGGCTGTAAACAGGGGGTCACTCAGCACAGAGTCATGGATCGGGAGTTACTCAGTACAGGGCCATGGATGCGGGGGACCACTCAGCACAGGGCCATGGACAAGGGGGTTACTCAGTATAGGGTGTGAACACGGGGATCACTCAGCACATGGATATGGATGGGGGAGTCACTCAGCACAGGGCCATGAAGAGGGGGCTCCCTTAGCAGAGGGTCGTGAACGGGGGAGGGGGTCACTCAGCATAGGGTCATGGATGGGGGGGTCAACTCAGCACAGGGCCATGGCAGGGGCAGGCAGGATCACTGGGCTCAAGGCTGCGCTGTGAGGCTGCTGCTGCCCTCCGATGTCCCCTGCCGGCAGCCTGGCTCTGTACCCACTGTCCCATTGGGCACCTCCTGGAGAAAGGAATGGCACCTCACACCCCATACTGGGTAGCCATCACAGACACGTCTCGGCCCTGCTGTCCTGTTCTTGCAGGATGAGGCATGGCAGTGACCGCTCAGAACCAAGCCCACACCACAGATTTGGCTTCTGAGCCATGGGACCTTCTGCCACCGCTCCCAGAGAAACACAAGGCAAAGGATGCCAGCTTCAGTGACCCCGGTGAGCACCTGCTGATGGCCATCAGTGAGGGGCAGGAAGACTGTCTTTACACAAACAGCTGCATTTTAACTCTCCAAGTGGAAATGACTCTTCCAACTTTTTAAAACGCCCAGTGAGAGTCAGCCACTAGCTTGGGTGTCTCTGGGCCTGGCTGGAGACCTACTGAGACTCTGTTGCCAACCTTGGCTCTGCAGCGCACTGTTCAGGGACACAGGGCTCAACAGAGCTGCTAGTACCAGAAACAGCTGCCCCAGGCCACATGTGGCTCAGAGGCAGCCACTGAGACATGGTGGTAGGCTCAGCTGGGGTGAGGACCACAGTCCAGCCTGTGGTGGCAGCTCCATACCACACCAGGCCCTGTGGCCTGAGCTGTAGGGGAGAAGTTGTAGGCCGAGGCCTGCAGTATCAGGACTGCTCGAGGGCGAAGACCCAGAGGATGCCTGAGCCGCAGTGGACACCAGGTGTCCTCAGAGGGCAGCAGAAGGGAAACCTACTCAACCAGGGCTGGAAATTCAGCATGTATGGCCACGATGTGACACATAGGAGCTTCAGGCCTGGAGCAAGGTGAGACCTCACTGCAGGAACAGGCAGGACATGCATGTTCCAGGCAGGTGCTACCACGCTGAAACCCTGGGTGAGATTTAGGTCCTGCCATCCTCAGCAGCTGTGAGCCACAGCCTGGGAGACACCACACAGCAGGTGCTGGAGTGGTGTGAGGGCCTCGCTGCGAACACATCGCGGACCCTGACAGCAGTGCCTGGTGTCACACCCACCACTTACAGCACCCCCCAGGCCTAATCTCCCGTCACCAAACTCTCATCAGCCTGCTTACAAGAAGGGCCCAAAACATGCTCAGCAAGCTATGGTGTTCACATCGTGTCTCTGATGCCAGCAAGGTATCTCATCTCAGCCTGCAATGTGGGCCCCTCCTGACTCAGTCCACAGCGTGAGGGACAGTGCATGTCCCCTACCCACCAATCCTTACACAGGAGATGTATCCTCCCACTCACACCTCAGACTCGGGGCCCTGTTGCCTCAGTCCACACCTCAGATGCAGGGCCCTATCCCCTCAGTCACGGGGCTCTGTCCACTCAGTCCACGGTCCAGAGGATGGTGCTGTGCTGTCCTCAGGTGTCCTGCGCAGCCTGGCAGAGCAGCCCGTGGTGATGCTCAGGGACCTGAGAGCTGGTGGGAGCCCTGCTGGCTCCTGCACCTTCAGAGACAGCAGTGTCAGGACACGGGTCCACTTGACAGGCAAAAGGAAGATCCTGGGAACCTGGCAATGCGTCCCATGACCAGGGCAGGCCAAACTCCATCAACAAGGGTCTAAATGGAGCAGTCACCTCTGCCGTGACATGAGAAAACAGCTGCCCTTGAGGGCAAGGGGCATGGCTTGGAGAGCAGAACCCCCCCACTCCCCTCGGCCCTTCGACACACAGTGCCCCTGCCCCTCATTCATGGGGCAGAAATTAAGGCGTGCATGGGGATCTGGGACCACTGGTCCACAGGGAGGTGAGCAGGGTGAGGCAGCAAGGCCTGGCCTTGTTCCCAAGCTGCTCTTCCCACATGGTCGTCCCCTCCATGCCCCCCCCTCCCCCAACAAGCACACAGACATCCCACTCAGCAGCCAAGCTCCTGTCCTTTTTGTGCTCAGTGCCAGAGAAGCCCCATCCACACCAAGCACAGGTGGGAAGGCAAAAACAGACATGCCGGGGATGGCATGACCACTGCTCCTCCTAGGCAAGTGGAGCGTCTGTTCCCCAGAGTAGGATTTCTCCTGCCCATGTCACCTGGCTCAAACCTTCATGCCTCAAGGTTCACACCCAGGCACAGGCCAGGGAGCCTGGGACAGTCATAAAATGTATAAAACATCATCAAGAATCTACAACAGACCAGGGCACAATTTCCTAACTCAGCCAAGGGCGTGGACCTTGCTGTCACCTCGTTCACCCACAGAGAAGCTGGCAGAGCTTAATCTCATATGTGACAGCATGTTGGGGCCAGGCCATGATGTACGATGTAACAGACCTTGTACAATGACAGCTCAGATGGCCATTCCAGAAAAAGAATTCCAAAATTTCCTGGAGAAAATGGAGAAAACCTGGAGAGCCTGCCCCCATTTCCGGAATGTCCATGTAATGGCCTGGCCCCTGTGTCCAGGACATCCCTTGTCCAACATGCACACCACACCCAGGACTCACGCACACCACACCCAGGCCCTGCAGCCTGCCACAGCCTGCCTCCCTCCCGCTTAGCAGTGTCTCCTGTCCTGTCCCCACTGCAGGGCAAGGGCTTGAGAGCCATGCTGCTCTCGCTGTGGGAGCCCACATCTACTGCACGTGTCGCAGACATGCTGCTCCTGCCACAGAACACCAAGCACAGCTTCACAAGAGGCCCCATGTGGCCAAAGAAGCAAACCGCCTGTGAGGACCCGGGAACGGGTGAGGCTCAGGGAGAGCCTGGCCCTGCCTTGGAAAAAGAAGGTGTCTTATAGGGACCTGACCACTGAGTATGATCATCCAGTGTACGGAGGGCTGGGGGAGGTGCCAGACAGTAACACTGCTGGGAAAAAGGTGGTGAGTCCAGCCTGTGAACAGGTGCATGAGCCCCTTCTACTAAGGAAAGGAGCTTGTGAAGGGGGTCCCAGGGTGCCATGACCCTGCATGACCTCTCCCAGGAGTGTGGGGGGGTTCCCTGGGGAACTGTGACCCTGAGTGGCCCCTCCCTGCAGGATTGCTGGCTCCCCTGTAGGAGAGTCTTGGACACCAGAGCAAGGCACAGCTCCCAACCCTAAAAGGACCACGTAGCTCCCCTCTTACAGGGGAGGTGCAACAAGAGCTCCGACCTCAACACCACGTGGGGCCAGAGATGCCCAGTCATGGCCCCTGCACCCCAGAACTCCTTCAGAGGCCAGGACTGTTCCACTAACCCTAACCCTTGAGTGCAGGGTGCTGGCACAGAGGATCTGGTGAAGCCCACAGCACCTTCTGCAAGGGTGACATGTGAAGCCTACACCCTGCTAGGTCCACCTTCCCAGCCCTCACACCAGGGACAGACTGGAGCCCACTTGTGTCTCCCTACTGCCCAGTGCTGCAGTCATAACGCTATGCTTCCCAAACCTGGTGCCACATGGCAGGGGCTGCTGTGTATCAGGAAGGGGCCATTTGCTGTGTCTGGAAGGCAGAAGGGCACAAGTGAGGGGAGCAGCCCCAATCCAGATGGAGCCCAGGGACGCCTCAGAGTAAACTGTGGAGGGGTCAGGGTGGGCTGGGAGGACCCAGAGTGTCAGGGCCAGAAAGCACTGCTCCAGGAGAGTGTGAGAAGGGAGGATGATGAGGATGAGAAACCGGCCAGGAGAGCCTGGGTGGTACCAAGCACAGGAAAAGGGATTGAGCCAGGAGCAGGAGAGACAGATCTGAAATGCTCTGGAGAAGACTGGAGACACGGATCCTAGGCACAGAGCAAGAAGCAGAGTCCCCAGGCCCTCAGTGATGGCTGACTGGGCTGTGCTATTAAGCATCTCCAAGAAGAGGCTGGGGACAT